AGGTTGAGCTGTTGTTCAGCATCTTAGCTGTAGAGGGCAGTGTCACTGGCTCTCATATGGGATCCGAATGGGGTGCCATTGGGCCGGCCCCTGCCCTAGTCATTTCTGAGGATGAGCCTTTTGGACTCAAAAGCTGTGACAGTTTCACACTGGGCAGGTGGCGCTGCCCCAGAGAGGCACCATCCGCTGGGCTCTCCCTCCTGGGAGGCACCTGGGTCTTGTCCTCCGTTGCCAGTGTCTTCTGTAAACCCTGTCCTCCTAGTCACTGACACCAACCCGCTCCGTTAGAAAAATACCTAGAATTCGAAGCTGTCCTTTGCCACGGGAGCCTAAGAGTTGACCTGGCTCACTCTGGTGAGGCAAATTGGATACCTGCTTCACTAAGGCACTGAAGGTGACAGCGCGCCCTGTCGCGGCGCACCCTGGGACCCGAGCCCACACCCTCCGCCGGCGGCGCGGGCCTCAGGGCCGCTGAGTCCCGCCCGCGCCCAGCACGTGCCAGAGCCAGCCCGCAGCTGCGGCTGGCTACTGCCCGAGACCTGCTAGGGGCTGACGGCGCGCCGGCCGCTTCGAGTTGGCTCTGGGCCTTGCTACTGGGGCGGCTGACGAGCTCACCCGGGAAAGCCAAGCTCTGACAGGACCCGGGCTCACCGGAGGGTCGTCTCCAGGCTTGCCCATCCTGCCTATGGCTACGTAGTTAACCCTCAGTCCCGGTCTTCGGCCTCCACAGGCAGCTCCCCTTCCCGGTGTCTCTGTGCCCGCAAGCTCATGGCAGGAAGGCGCCCGCTGCGGCCTCCGGTGGAACGAAATTGAACGAGGGGCGCAGGCACAGGGAGAACGTCATGGGGCCCAGCACGCCCTCCTCACACGCTCCCTTTCCCCAGGGAGCAGACAACCGGGCGAGGCGGGCCTCCGGCGCTGGAGGCTGTCGAGTCAGGCCAGCCTCGGGAGGTGGTTGGCCGGGGATTGGACGGCTGGAGGCGGCGTAGTCCTCAGGACCCCCAGGCCGGGGAACGCTCTGGAGCGACCCGGGCTCCTCGCCGCGCGCCTCTTCCCGCTTTCAGGCTTCAAGCGGGCACGGCCGGCCAAGGGATCCTTTCCCGACAGGCCTTCAGTTGCCGGAGTGAGGTGAGGGGTAAGGCCTGGGGAGTGGAACAGCTCTTCCAAAGGCGGTCCCCTGAGAAATCTGTCCCGCCTCTCCCGCAGGGACAATGTCCGAGGCCTTGGAATCTGCTGGTATCTGGGCAGATCGGAACTGGACCGCCACGAACTCCCTGCGCTGGGGGCAGAACTAGTGTCCTTCCCTGCCCCGCGTTAGTTAGAGCCGCCCTGAACGGTGTAGTGAGTCGGATAATGCGTCTTAGAAAAACCTACAAGGAGAGGCGTCACTGGGGGGGGGGGGCACCGCGTGAGGTGCTCACGAAGGCCCCAGCGACGGGGTAGAACAGCTTACTGGCCCTGACAACAGGCTCAGGCCCTCTCCCAGCACCCCGGTCATGCACATGACACATCCTCCGCAGCAAAGGGGCCCAGGTGGAGGTGAAAAGGTTCCAGCGGCCAGAGGGGACGCTGGCGCCCCGCATTCACGCTAGGGAGCCAGCCGTCTGAGTGACCGCCCGCCGCGCCCGCTCCACGCAGTGTTTGGCTTGTGCCTCCAGGGGGCGCTGGGGCTCTTCTCGCGGGCCGCTGAGATCCCGCCCCGGCTGCGTTTTCCCATCCCATCCGTGCGTAGAGCGCCAACGAGAACATACCTTTTTAAAAAAGATAAAATTCTTAGTTTTCTGGCCCCTACCTCCGCACTCTCAGTTCTGAGTCCACAGCCCACGATCCTCCTCTAGGTTTTCGCGGGCCTCGTCACTGTTCCGGGGCTTGAGTGCCCGCGCCCAGGGAAAAGCTGGGCTCCCAACTCCTCCGGGCTCCGGCGAAAGCAGCATAGAGTGCGGGAAGTTCAAATGCGAAAGGTCTCCGCCCTGCAGAGGCAGGGGAAGGCCGGGGAGAAGGGAGGCGAGTTCTCAGAGGTAATGGCACTGGGATCCCTGGGAAAAGATGAGGTTTCCATAATTAGTGTCTTAAAGGGTAAACGTTTTTAGGATTTCCGCAGCGCGTGGTCAAAGTGGGAAGGGTCGGAGTCGACTCCAGGGATGTCTGTCTGACACCTGCTCGCTGCTTAACTGGCAGATCCTCCTGGGTGGGCTGGGGGGGGGAAGAGGCCTGCGCTGCCGGCCCCCTCCTCCTCCAACTCCTCCGCTCTTCCTCTCCCCGGCCTTCATTCCGTCCTCAAGGGGAGTAAACTTTCTTCGGGTTTGGGCTGCAACTGCTCGCGCGCCCCCTTGTCAGTCTGTTAGTCATTTCCCTGGAAGCGTCCTTGGTGTCGAAAGCCCAGAGCCGCGAGGACAGCAGATGACCGAGTCGGCGGCAGTGTCAGAGTGAACCCGACGTGCAGCTGACTCTTGGAGGGCGCAGGGGGAGCGGGACCGCTGCGCAGAGACTCAGCCCCCGGTACGCAGCTGGGCAGCTGTAGGCTCCGGTATTTCCCTCCCGGCACACCCAGACCCCACAATAAGCCGGGGGACCCTGTGGCCTATCTTCCGTGCCGCGCATTGTCGCCCGGGGAGTCCGGCAGAGGATGCTGCTCCTGGGTGGGCCCCACAATGTGTGCGCTCTAGACGCCGGCGTGAGCAAGGAGCTTACCCGGACTGAGCGTGGAGAAACTCCAGGGCCCGCCGCGGGTGGTCGCGGAGGTGGCCAGAGGGAGCCCAGCATACAGTGCGGCGCGGCGCTCAGCCTTTGGCTCGCCCTGGCTTGGGGCGCGCACCTGCCCATTGCTGTGGCCGGGCCTGGAGGCTGCCCAGGCTCTGCTGGGCCACGCGGCTTCCCCTGAAGTCGGGAGCTCGCCGACTCCTCACTACCTTTCAGGCTTGTGCAGCGCTCAGGGCCCGCATGGCCCAGACTCCATTGTGGAATTTCGGAGGCTGGGGTGGGCGAGGTAAACACGTTTATGGAAAAACCTGGCCTCGGGAGGTTTGCAGAAAGAGGGCGCAGCTCGTGGGTGGTTGGAAATACTACTTCGCGGGAAAAGCAAACGGTTCCGCGCGCGCGCGCGCACACACACACACGCACACTCACGCGCACACACACACACACACACACACACGCACGCACGCACGCACGCACGGTGGGAAGGTGTGAAGCCTGCCGCTGGGGTATTACCTCTACTTTGGTGGAAAGAAAATAAAAAGCATAGGAACACTCTTCAGGTCACCACCCCTGGAGTGTGTGTCCTGGGGGTCTGAAAGAAGAGAAAGTTCCCTTCAAATCTTCCAAATTGAGAAAAGCTGCGGAAAGAATGAGGCGGTTAGAGAGAGGGGACCGCAGGCATCTCGGTAGCTGGGGCTCAGGACTGCGTACTAAAATGAAAGCACCCCTATAGAAGCCACCAGGGAAAATATTTTTTTTAAAAAAAAAAACCTGAACTCAGGCATTTTACTAGTTACATGCTGTTTGTCAAATCTACTTTGAAGCAGTTAAATACTAAAGGATATTAAACACTCGGGTCTGCGTTCCAAGCTCACTTTTTAACCTTTGCGAATTTTAAGTTAGAGTGAAAGCAAAAAAGATCTGCTATCCCTGAATTATGTTTCACCAAAGGAACGAAAAATTCCGTCCACCTCGGCATAAATAAAGTAGAAGGAATTTTATCTTAATAAAATAATATCTCGTAGATTCTGCCTGGGTCTGCAATCACTGGTTCACCTTTGGACAGTTTTTCGTTTTCTGCTTATATGTGTCCACTTCCCGCACGATTTAGATTGTTTTAATTGTGCTCTGAGGCGGTACTTCCAAAACCATGTTTTGGTGGGACACTTTTGAATTTTACAACCTGATGTCTGGGAGATCTGTGCCCCCCAAACGCAGATTTACCCGGGGCTAAGGCAGATCCCCTCTGGCGACTCGTCTAGGACGAAGGGCATTTTGCTCAGTTTCACTCAGGCAGATCTAATCTGGAAAGAGGGTGTTTAAAATGAGTGTGTGTCATTCCCTTTCTGTCACTGGGCCACCCTATTTCAAGATTAGCTGAAGTGCGTTCTGCACTTAACTCTCACACAGGACCAAACCTTTAGAAGAACCTGAAAAACGTATCACTACGCTTCAAATTCGATTAAGTTTCCTGGCGACTGAACAATGAACTCTATTTGGGGAGGGGGGGGCTAGGAATGAAGATGTACATGTTTTGAGAAGCTAAAATATTATTTCCCCCCATTTTAAAAATGATTGTTCTTCACTCATTTTAGATGGGTTCTTTATTATTTGCCAATGGGTTACAGAAGCCCACCTCTTTAATCACGTTGGTTAACTGCTTATGAAATGTACATTGGCTAATTAAAACTTAAATACTGGAAGAAATTTCTCCTGGGACATTCCACGTATGTCTTTGCAGTAATTACAAAATTAGTCAATTGTCACCTCTGTAAACAAACTTTGTTTTAAAAACAGACGAAAGCAGACTACACATGTAGTCATAATTGAACAAAACTATGTACAAAACTGTATTTTAAATTGGGGGAAGGGTGACATATGCTAGAGAATACAATCTAGAACTGATTGAGTTTACCCTACGAAGAAGATGGGTATGTTAAACGTGTTAAGATGTGGAAATTAACCCGGCGAGCGCACCAAGTAAAACTACAAAATGCCCTTTGGGTATCTCCCCAGGGTCTTCCGGAGGCAGAAGACCAGTTGTTCAGTTTCTAACAATATAAGAAAAAGTGGCACCAAGAAGGAAGGTGGTGAGCGTTCTGTTGGTGTGTGAGTTTTGAACTGTGTCACCTTCGGCTCTGTCTCTGTAACTGGGAAAGCTCGAGCAAACCTGTGCCTTTAAGATTCAGTTGCTATCCAAACACAAGTAAACAGAGTGGACCATTAGCGGGCGCCGGGCGCGGAGGCGGAGCCAGGGCTCTGTTGGCCCCGCGCGGCGGCGGGACGCCCGCCCGAAGGGGAGGCGGGGCCGCTACTAAAGCCCTGGACTCCCGGCTGCGAGCAGCCTGGCGAGGGACGCGGGCGGGGACAGAGCTCCGAGCGCTCGCTGCTGGAGGGTGATGGCCCTGCGAGACTGCAGGGTCCGACCTTACCCAGAGTCGGTGAGAGGCTCGCGGAGGCGCGGGATTCTGGGCGAGCATTGAGCGCCGGCACCAAGTACCCGAGGTCTTGACGCATTCTACGTCCACAGACTCGGACCAAGGCGAGGATCCGCTCTCGTTTTTGTGGTTCGTGGTGCTCCAGATCATGTCCGCGGCTCCCGGGAATCCGCGCGGAAAAAGAAGTTTGCCAGGCGTGGACCCAATGACCTTTCCAAGCTGTGTGCCTCACTGCCTGAACCAGGTCTGAGCGGCGCTGCCCTGGCGGACCTTTCTGCGGGAGGTGAGTGTCCGCTCTGGGAAGGGACTGCAGCCTCCTTAAGCAAGGGTGAAGGGGATGCAGGGGGCGCTCAGATTCTCTGTCCGGCGTGCCACAAATTCAGAAATTGTGAAAAGAGATCATATGGATGCAATCCCGGGGCATTGTGTTTCTCACTTTGTCGGATCCCAGGCACGTCACTCCCAGCTAACACCCAACGACACACACTTTTATGTACTAGTTTTTAGTTTTGGTTTGAGACATTTAATCTAAGCATGCAGTAAGCCTTCTTATAAAAGCTGATCGACGTACGCTGAGATAAAATCCCTTTACCCCAGGGTGTTTCTGACCCTGCCCTGGTATTCCCGGTCCACCCGTCCGGGGGCAACCGCGGCGGCGCAGCGCGGACAGGCCGGGACACAGTGCCTGTCTAGCCAGCGCGTTTCAAGAGGGAAGTAATAGTTCAGCCCTAGGTAATTCTCCAACCTTGTGTTGGCCTTTTGATTTTTTCTCCCATCCTCCAGTCCTGGGGGAGGGCGAATTTCCCCGGGGCTTAAACGCTTGGATCCTCGAGAAACAGCAACAGAGGAAGGAGTTGCGGTGGTAGAAAAGAGGGAGGAAAAAAGGTGTTTGTGGAGGGAGCGCTGCATCTGTCTCCCTACCTGTTTGCAGAGAACAAAAGAGGGCTGGTGTTTCCTGGAGCGTAAACGCCGCAGACAGCTACTTTCTCTGCGAAACAAACTGCAGCCCTGGGCCGAACAAGAAAATTACTCACGCAGGGGGAGCGAGGGAGCAGAGAGAAACAACCCAGATTTTGCGGAAGGCATCTTAATTTAATTAACTCCTTGGGAAGGCAGAGGCGCTGCACAGGGGCAAGAACTTCGCCGCCGTTTTTCTCTGTTCACCTGACCCAGTCTGACCATTTTTGTTTTATTTATTAAAATGATCTCCTTAGATCCACTTGGTCAATAGCTCTCTGATTTATGTAAAATTCCATTCCATTGTGGTTTAGGCTGAAATTCAGCAAGCCTAACCTATCAGTTATTTCTCTCAGTCACCAACGCACAGGTTTTAGCAGCTGACCCCTGACTGTATATTGTTTTTAGATAATTCAGTGTAATAACATCATTACCAAAAAGCAAGACTCCTTATCAAATTACCACGTACGGTACCTTTTTTCCTCCAATGTTTTGAAAGCTTCACTGAACTTAGTATGTACACATCTCACTTGTTGACAGCCAGTGAACTAAATTTTACAAAACTTCTGTACATTCCTGGAAATTCCTGTGAAGAAAACTGATGAAAGAAAACTAGCTTCAGCTCCACTGAAACATTTATGTCTTTTCATTGGTTTAACGTTCTTTTCTTGCAAAATTAAAAGTAACAAATGGTCCGAAACGGCATGGTGGAGAAATGACAGAAAACGATGAGAGCTGTTATTGCCTGAAACTGAGTGTGGGAACTACTACTACATGCTCAGCTCCAGATAAAACGAAAGTACTTTAGATCTCTGCATTGTCTTAAAATATCTTTTGACAAATATTCCCAGCAACTCAGCAGAATGGGAATCTAAACTCCCTAATTATTTATGGCAAAAGTGTTTGATGGATATTTAGGGTTGTTCTGTTTGTAAAAGAGTTTCAGAAGTCACCAGTGGTCTGCTCTTTTGTGAAGAAACCGTTTGTCCTGCAAATTAAAATGAACATATACTATGAAATAGCACTTTTGTGCCACCATGAAGCTGAATTACAATAGAGTTATTAATTTTTGTGTTACAAACCATTGGGAGAAAAGGGAAGGAAGATGGCACTCAACCTTCAGCTGGCAGAATTAACGTTTAACCTTTATGGCAGAGTTCACTTCTTACATTTGGAATAGAAACCACAAGTTGTGGTAGCCTTTCAATTGACAACACCACCACCCCTCCACACACACACACACACACACACACACACACACACACACATACACACACATGCACACACACATATACACATGGAGAACATGGTGGGAGTTGTACTTGCCTCCTGTATTTATTTCTAAGAAATCTACTCTGGGAATACACCCAAATAATAATTTTGGTTTCCTCTCTATGGGGGAGGCTACTTTTTAATACTCGGGGAAAAATAATATTTTGAATCGCTGGAAAATCCTCATTATGCAAAAAGAAGGAAATAAAGGTGTAATTTATTATTTTTAAGGGAGGAGGAAATAATCAGGTAGATTGCCAGGGATGTTAATAGAATTCTTTTTTCCCTGCCTCTCTAGGAGAGGGTTTGAGGGATTGCCACTGAACAAAAATGAATCATGATTTGTGATGGGAAAGTTTATTCCGAATGGAGGTTTACAGTTTCGGTTGAATGGTATGACTGAGACCCTCTGGCTGTTTCACACCTCTCATTAACTCTGGGCCTAAACTCCCAGTCCGCATAGCACCAGGCAGAAGCGGTTCATTAATAAATCCCTGTCTCCGAAACTTTCCAAACAGGAGGAGGGAGGGAAGGTGTGGGCCTCATGAAGGCAGCCGGATTCTGCGTTGCTAGAACGCTGTGTGATTATCTCAGCGCCCTAAGTCTGCCCACAGAGCCATTGGCAACACAACACACTAGAGAAGAAAATTCAGGCGCAGAAAGAGATGGTTGTGGAGGAGAGACTGAACAACTCTCCCACCATTCTGGAGGGTTCAAAAGCCAGGCGTTAAGGGTGATGGCTCAGACGGGCCGGCCTGCTCTTCTCCAGGGAAGGTGTTTAGCTGTGAGTCCCGCACCTGGGGGGGGGGGCTGCTCCCAGAAGCATAGGCCCAGGCCCGCCAAGCTGGCAGAACCCTCTGCTATACAGGGGCTGGCAGTGGGAGCAGGTAGGCCCATCCTGAATGCCCATGAGGTATCCCTGAGAACTTGGGGCTGAAAGTAAACTGCTTTGCCATCGGGGGCACAGGGAACTAGGAGCGCGTGCCGCATACCCATGCCCGCAGCCCCCCCGGCTGGGCTTCTGGGTGTCAGGAGTGCCGCTGCACACATCTCTAGGCGGATAAACAACCTTCCTCCAGGCTGGCAGGGCCTCACTGTACCCGGCCGCTGGGGCTCCGCTGCCGCTCCGTCCCTTTCCCTCCCCAGGGAGCCCTTTCTCTCCTGCTGGGGCCTCCCGGGTATAGGAGCCACTCATGGTGACAGGTCGAGAAGCCTCTTGGTTCTCCCCAGAGCTTGGCGCTCAGACTGGGATAAGGGGTTTCGGCCTCAGGGACATTCTCCGCCCACCCCCAATCACTCCCCGGGAGCCGAACCATCTGGAAGGGATCTTGGTAGGGGGTGGGAGGGGACGGCCCCTGGGAAGGAGGAGGGGGCGATTCCAGGTCGAACCCGGCCCCCGAGGTGTCACTTTTCTTTCCTGCGGGCCGTCACCGCTGATAAATGGGACTAAGGCAGAGGAAGGAAAAAGAAAACCTCCGAGGTCAGCGCGGGGCGAGGCGGGCCCCTCCGAGGGCTTGAGGGCCCAGGAGCACCAAGTACGCCCCGGGTGCTTCTGCACCCCGGCATGGCCCGGGTAAGCGCCGGGAAGGCGGCCGCGCGGGGCAGAGCAGCCCACGCTGGGCGCAGCGCGAGGAGCTGCCTCACCGGACCGAGTCGGACCCTAAAGCCCCGGGAGGGACCCACAACCGATTGTTCCCCGGGGAGCTTCGAGGCGCGGTGGCGACAGAGGCTCGGCCCCGGGCCTGGAGGCGCTGGCGTTGCGGGTCATCACTGTTGACCGAGTTTTGCCCGACAGGGTGAAAGTGGGGGCTGGATTGGGTGCCGCCTCTGCTGGAGCGCCCCTACCCACATTTCTTTCTCCTCGGGCCTAGGTCTTCTGCTCCGGGAGTGCTGGAATCCGACCTCTCTGTGGGTGCCCAGAAGGGCCGCCAGGGCATCCAGCTCGCCAGGGGACTTTTCCTGCCCCGCCTGATACCCTGGCCCTGAGGCTGAACTCGGCGGCCTCAGTGGGGGTGGGGGGTTGGGGGGCGCTACGTTTCCCTCACCACTCATTTGGGGACCCTCGAGTAGGGTGTGTGTTTGGGGGTGGTGGGGGGCGGACTTAGAAGGAAGGTGTGGTAACCCTCGCCGGCACCAAAGGTCAGGCCGAGCTGGCTTGTTGGATAATACTCACGACCCTTCTTCTCTCTCCCTGTCCATTTTTAGGGTCTCTCTTCGTGCTGTTGTCTCTCTGAGTTTTTGCCGGAGCCCCACGCCCACCCGCCTCTGAGTCCTGGAAGAAAGGGGCGGCTCCCTCAGCCCCCCAGCATCCCGGAAGATGGGGAGCAAGGCCCTACCGGCGCCCATCCCGCTCCACCCGTCGCTGCAGCTCACCAATTACTCCTTCCTGCAGGCGGTGAACACCTTCCCAGCTGCAGTGGACCACCTGCAGGGCCTGTACGGTCTCAGCGCCGTGCAGACCATGCACATGAACCACTGGACGCTGGGGTACCCCAATGTGCACGAGATCACCCGCTCCACCATCACCGAGATGGCGGCGGCGCAAGGCCTCGTGGACGCGCGCTTCCCTTTTCCGGCTCTGCCCTTTACTACCCACCTCTTCCACCCCAAGCAGGGAGCTATTGCCCACGTCCTCCCAGCACTGCACAAGGACAGGCCCCGTTTTGACTTTGCCAACTTGGCGGTGGCTGCCACGCAGGAGGATCCCCCTAAGATGGGAGAGCTGACCAAGCTGAGCCCTGGGCTGGGTAGCCCCATCTCTGGCCTCAGTAAATTGACTCCGGACAGAAAGCCCTCCCGAGGGAGGTTGCCCTCCAAGACAAAAAAAGAGTTTATCTGCAAGTTTTGCGGCAGACACTTTACCAAATCCTACAACTTGCTCATCCACGAGAGGACCCACACAGATGAGAGGCCGTACACATGTGACATCTGCCACAAGGCCTTCCGGAGGCAAGATCATCTGCGGGATCACAGGTGAGGTGGGGAAAGAGGCTGGCCCGGGAAGGGAAGGCGAATTTGTCCAGAATACCAAAGCCTCATAGACATTCCAAGTGTCACTAAAATACTCTCGGAACTAAAATGTATCCCCAAAGCCCTCCCCCGCCAGCCACAGCTAACCCCCCACATTTACCATTTTTCCTCGCCAGGCTCCTGCCGCGTTCTTGTTTGAGATGCGGGAGGGACTTTCCCTATCCTTGGCAGTTAAATCTAGTGGGTTGGCCTTGGTGCTGGGATCAGTTTCCCAGTTTCCTCCCGGTAGCCCTTGCGGTGGGGCAGGTAAAACCGAAGGACCCCCGGAGACCTTTCCACGGTGGCTGCCATCAGACCATTTCTGGAAATCTACTTGGGCCACCTCCACTGGGCTGCCTCCCTTCCCTACCTCCCACACCCGAGTGCACCCCAGAGCCTGACATGGTAACCTTCCTTTTAAATTTATTTAATCTTCATCACTGAGTTTAGACACAGCTCTCCACCTCCCCCCTCCCCGACCTTAAACTCTGCATTAATAAACGGCAATTGGAGAAATACTATAACATAAGTGTTTTCATCCGGTAAAAACTTCCCAGGAGTGGAGGAGGGGTAGCCCTCTCCCGACTCTAGTAGCTGTTCGCCTAGGTGGGACTTCTGAAGGATCCTCTGCGACTGTTCAGGAATTCGCTGAAATCAGTCCACCTAAACTCAGCCTTGACTTATATCCTGATTTGGCCAGTTTAAATTCCAGGGAAAACCGTAGAGGCCAAGAGAGACTCATTCGGCACGATTTCGAGCTCCAGAATACGCCAGAGAGGGCGATCAAGTGTAGATAAAGCCGGCGTCCAGTGAATGTTTTGAGTCTGTTAGTTGAGGTTAACCATAAACAGAATTACACAGGGAAAAGAAAAAAAATACAATCTAAAAACATAAATAATGGGAATCCTGTTTCTTTTGTCTTTTCACGACTACAATTTCAGTAACTGTCAAAAGAAACTTGTCACCGTGGTGGTAAAGCCATTTCAATGAAACCTTATATTGATTTTCAGGTATATTCATTCCAAAGAAAAACCCTTCAAATGTCAGGAGTGTGGGAAAGGATTTTGTCAATCTAGAACTCTAGCAGTTCACAAAACTTTACATATGCAGGTAAGTTTGTTTTCTTGTTTAAAAAACAGTGACTGGTTCCACTTGATCATGTTTGCTCTACAAAAGGTGCTCAGTGGCAGGGTATTTCTCTTAAAAGGCTGTTTATATTAGTTTCATAGGTAAGGAAAGCAACACTCATTTTTTTTCCATACATAAAATGATTCTCATTTAACATAAAACATTTTTGTATTATTTTTAAAGAACAGGCCAGTCTATGCTAAATCCTAATTTTAGAATTATTACTTTTTTGATCCGATCTGCCCTGCATTTAAAGCTTTCTGATTTGGGAGGAAATAAAGGTAATTTTGATAATGGAGGCATGGTGAAATCCCATCTGTGCTCTCTCCCAGGGGCCTCATAATTTGTAGTTTTCAGAACATTGAGGAATAGTTTAATTTTCCAGCAAAGAGGAGCCTTATTACCCGGGAGAATGTCTTTCCTTAAGAGAGGATTAGAGTTTTTCCTTCCCCCTTTTCCTGCTTATGACATGGTGATGAAATGTAAAGAGCTGGAAATCACAAAGCCCACCGCGGTGGCCACCGGCAGTTATCAGTGTAATCGGGCCTCTGTGTGTGCCTGAGCGTGTGTTTTCGTGATTGGAGGATTAGGAGCAAGATTTGTTCCTGCAAGTCCCCTCTTTTGTTGTCGTGCGCGTGTTATGTTAACGCTTGTGATACCGATAAGACAGAAACTATTGAGAAGGGTGCGGTGGTGGTGTGAAGGATTAATCCTTTGCTTGCTTCACATCTGAACAGGAATCTCCACACAAATGTCCCACATGTGGAAGAACCTTTAATCAGAGAAGTAATCTGAAAACTCACCTTCTCACCCATACAGACATCAAGCCCTACAGCTGCGAGCAGTGCGGCAAAGTGTTCAGGCGAAACTGTGATCTGCGGCGGCACAGCCTGACTCACACCCCGCGGCAGGACTTCTAGAGAAGCCCAGGATCTGTCCCGTGCCGCCGCTGCTCCCCTCCCTTGACACCTCTCCACGCCTCCCACCCGGGGGGGAGGGGGCACCCCACCCCCAACCATTCACTGACCCCAGCTCTTCCCTTGCTGCAGCCGCACCTGCAGCTCCAGGGACTTAAGTCTACTTCTCGAGGACTGAGAACTGTAGAAAGCCACACACGTACATCCCTTCACAAAGAGCATATGCTAGTTTCTTGTAGATATTCACAGCTCATTTTAGAGCTCTGTACATAATGTCGTGGGTCTGTTTTGTTGTTTTGTTTTGTTTGTTTTTGTATCTTGTTGGATGCACCTAGATATGGAAAATGGAAGCCAAATTTATCTTTAAAGACTGTATTTTCAAAATAAAACCTTTTCTTGTTTGTTTCAACACCCCTGCAAAAGTGTCTTGCCATTTAACTTCTGTTTTCCCTCTGGCTTCTAGAAGAGTGGGCTGCCTCTAAAACAGTCAATATTGAAGGGGTTTCTTTATAGCTAAGTTTTTGAAATAAGACTCTCACAGCTCTCTTACTGAAACTTCAGCTCTTCCCTTTCGGTACTGTGGCATTTTGGAGTTGGACAACTGTGCTGTCTTGTTTTTCAAAGATATTAAAATTGATACCCCTGAGGTTTTATCCCCTTTTGTTTATTCTAATTCCTTGTGTATTATTCCTTCAGATAAAAGCAAGATAATAATCAGTAGTAATAACTTGAACTCCAATGACTGATCTACTTGAAAGCATAAGGTGGGAAGAAGCATAAGGAAAAAGAAGAGAAAGGAGGAGCTTCTCACCACTTCATTTTTAAAAAGTCCTTGACCCACTGTCAAAGTTTATGATGGGCAACTTCTCTTACCAGTAGACTTTGAACACTGTGATTTAGCACTATAGACAGAGACTTTACCCTGCCTTCAGGGGACAGGTCTAACATCCTCCTACAGAAGAGTGCTGGGAAGTACAGCCTTCAGAAAATGGAAGACAGGAGGAGAAAGGGGAAACTACTTAGCTATGTTTGCGCAAAATATTTCTTTCCAAGGGTGGAGATCCTTTCTTCTAGAAGGTTTGGATTTCTCAGCAAAGCAAACTGAGTTCGATCACTAGCAAGGTTTCCATCACTGGTTGGCCTTTTGTCCCTGGGAATATTCCAGAAGTACAGGTTACTCTGTGTATAGAGCTCATGGCAAATATGTAATCACACTCTGAGGCATTGCAACCTTTTCCAAAAGGTTCCTGGGGAATATGACACTAGTATAATGACAACCCTGTGTAGGATTTGTGTGGAGAGCTGTGGATGCAGATAAACAGTAGTACTATGCAGACACTGGAAGGAAAACAATTGAACATAAAGTGGGAACATCAGGGGAATCTGTGGCCCAGGGGCCCAGCAGGTTCCACAGACTTTTACACCGAACAACAGGGTGAATTAAGTACTCTCAGATTTTTTTCATTTGTATATTTGTGTGGGGATGGCATGTTTTAACTTCAGGGTGATGCTAAGGCAACGCATCCTATGTTTGTACCTTAGAATCCTCCAGAAGGGTAGGTAGGGATTCGAGGACTAGATACAAAATTTCTCACCAGTGCCTTGTTCCATACGAGGTAGGGGGAGGTTTCAAAAAAGGTTTCAGACTCACTGCTTACTCTGTTCTCAGGGGAGCTGGCTGGAAGGCATTTCTGCTTCTCAGGAGACATCAGTTCTTTTCAACAAAGTGTCTGCTCACCAGCCTGTGTGTCTAATGCTCACACAAATGCACTTCCCAACATGGGATGGGCCTAAGGCTTCACAGAGGAGAGGGCACAGGGATGGAGTTGGGATGCCTGTGTGTGGGGTATTTAGGGGAGTGAAACTGTTGTTTGTTTTCTTTTGTTTGTACAGAATTAACTCAGTGACCTCCTTACTCCCACTCTCTCAAGATCCTGCCCACCTTGGCACAGAAGATTTGAACACTTCAGAGCAGGGTTACACATTGACTGTCCCTAGAGCTCCTCTAATCCTGCAGACATTTTCCATGTAGTCAGTCTCACTGCCCCACCCACCCCAACTGACTACAAACTTCAATAGTTCCATTGCACAGGGTTCAGTCAAATTATCAAAGAATGACCCTTGCTCACTATCAAGCTCAGTCATATCCTTGAAGTCCCTGTCACAGGGATATATAGATAGGTGTAACCAGAATACTGTTCCTCTTCATTCATTTTCATTGAAAAAATTGGAATCAGAAACGAATGAGTGAAAACAGAGAAGAAAGTGAAGCAAGCAATTCCCCTTCCCATGTACACGCTATTTCAAATGTTAAGGTGAAGTTATTTATAATTTATTTATGTAGTCATTAATTTAACAAATGCTTATTATGTGCTTTTCATTTGCCCAGCCCTGTGCTAGGCTCCAATGATTTTCACGCAGTCTCTGCCTTTCTATATCTAGTGGCACTTTTTTGCCACAACTACTTAGATAATTAAAAAATCTGTAATAGGGCTTAATTTTACAGCTACCTTCCATCTACACTCTTAAATCCAGCAGGCGTCTAGACTCAGAAAGGGCCTAACCTCTGAGTAGACTCTTTCCACACTCTTCACGATCTCAGGTGAACTTTTGAGCAGTGGGATCCTCTCCAAATTTTGAGTTTTGTTTTCTTCTTCTTTAGAATGTACAAGTATGCAGGAAATGAATCTTATGTGAGACAAACTTATGAGGCATCATAGGGAAAATGATATCTTCTATCTTATGAAATCCATCTGCTGGTTTTTGTTTTGTTTTGTTTTTTGGTTTAGAGAAGAGTCATTATTTGAGTTTTAGATTAGCCTGTGTTTTTCTTACAACCTCTACCATAGTCAACTCATGAATCAATACTCCTGGCCAGAGACCAGGAGTGGGAAGCATCACGAGTCACAACCACAGTGCTGAAAAACTTCATGAGCAATCATTAAGGATTGAGCTATGACTTTAATCTCATTTTGTAATCTATGTGTGGGGTTTCAAAAATAATTGCTAAATATGAATTACATTGTAATCAATTGTTAATATAAAAGTATGAATATGTGTTAAGTCCACTTATTGATGCCAATATTGACCTGTAGGTCATTGTAGTACTAGTGCTTTATAATTGTAGTAATTAAGATTGCTATTGTGTTCAGGCATATCCTCTTTTACATGAGGAAGCCCTTCCAAAATTTGACTCTAGGACAACTAAATACTTAAAAAATAAACAAATCTAAAATCTCAAACTATAAATAGGCCTAACTACAACTAGTGATGAAATCAGAGGCAGTTACTGTGACTTTTTTTCTGCTGTTCATTTGTTAGATGTTAGCATGGACATTTAGACCTCTTCACTGAAATCACTGCTCCAGTTTTTATTCTGGAGGGGCTACCCCTGGAAGGCACCTGGGAAACGTTAGCTCTTGAATATTGTCAATGACAGATTTGGATTAAACACAGTGCAGACTCTACAGAAAATTTCAATACGAGAAGGGTATTACCATGGCATAATGGGTTGCCTTTCTTATTACCACAGTAATTTTAATATTATTATAATGAAGAAATAGAAAAAGTGGATGAAACCATATAACAGATTACAAACAGAATGGCTTTGTATATGGGTGGATTGTGTTCACCACTTTTATTTGTATGTGATATTGAGACTGTATTTCCCAGTTTTTCCTTCTGAAATGTAGTTTGCCACTGATAACAACCTCTGCTGACAGCGATGAGCAATAAAGGGAGTAGAGATTCAGAATAATTCAGCTTTGATGACCTGAGATATTTCATGTTCATTCCTGTTTCTTTTCTTTACTGCTTATTAGTCCCCCCTCAACACCAATTATATTATTATTTAAGCTATATAACTTTTTAAATTGAAACTATTCAAGGCAAAAACTGATAGTGAAAAACTGTAAGTAACATAAATATACCACAAGAGGAAAATTTTTAGGTAAATTATAATGCTGTTTCTGTTAGGGTGCTTTCTACTGCAAGAAACAGAAAACCTGGCAAAAGGGGACTTAAACAATAGGGGATTTATTTTCTCACATAAAAAAAAAAGTTCAAGGTAAAGTCCAGGGATGCGTAATTAATTGGAGTGACAAGATCATCCAAAGCCCAGTTCTTACATTTCTCTTCTTCCGTCTTCAGTGCCTGGACTTGCTCCCTTATGGCCACAAGATGGCTGCAAAAGCTCCAACCGTCATCAGCTCTAGTGCTTCCTTCTCAAACACGTTGCATAGGCAGAAAAAGGGATTAAAGATTCTCCTCCATAAATCCAGCCTGTAGACTTGCACTCATATATTACTGGCCAGAATTAGTTCACTTGCTCCTTCCTCAGCCAATCACTGACAAGGAGAGCAGAATTATACAATGATTGACTTAGACTAAATAAAATTCACCTTCTATGACTGGAAATGAAGCCAGCCTTCCCAGGAGCCCTTGACTGCCTGAAAACACCTGAGTTCTGTTAGCTAGGAAGAAAGTAGAACTGTCTGTTATGAATATTAAGCAGATGTTAAAAATGAAGTTTCCATTAATAACCTTATGTTAGGAGATGCTTATGTTATAAAAGCAGGACATTTAATGGCATATATGATATTATCCAAATTATATAAACAAACAAAACCTTCAAAAAACTAAGCAGAAACAAAGACTAGCAGAAAATATACCAAAATGTTAATGACATTTATTCATGAGTAATAAACTATGGGTACATTTTTCTTTTCCTTTTCTTATTTTTCAACTCTTCCACAATGAGCATGTGTTACTTTTATAAAGGAAAAAGTTAATAAACATTGTTTTTAAAACCCAAGATAAAGCCTTACTTTCCTCAATACTTTCGTTTTTTCATCTTGCTTTATTACCTCTGACCAGTCTTGTCTCTTTTCATGGACACTCACATGTATTTCTTCTAAACTATCCTTTTAATTTAGTTACATCTTTACACTCTAGTTCCCTTTTTTTCCTTCCTTGATTTCTCTTCAAACCTCCTTTTCCTATCTTTTCTCTTCTCTACATTTCCGTGTCCTGATTCTTCGTTTTCTCCATTTTAAGAGCTTCAATAAGTCAAGCTTAGTGTTCCTCTAGGTGTGATCATTAGAATTATCCAGGTTACTTATTTCTCGGTCTTCCCTAATCCAGTGGGTAAATTGAAATTTCTGGTGATAACGACTCAAGGCTCTGTATTTTAAACAAACACTTCAGGTAGTTCTTATGTATATTAGAGACTGAGAACTTCTGCATTAGCCTTTGACACCATCATTCCCTTTATCTTATCCACCAGCCATTTATTATGTGCCTAACATAATAAACATAAAACAAATCTCAACCCACTTTACTTATTTACCCACTGTCCTTGAAGTTGTGAAATTTCCCCCTGCCTTGGTTCTTACTGCTCTTCCCTTGTCT